TGGCAGCGGTATAAGTTTCCTTCTCTTAGCTAGTGTACATATATAGAAAGGGTAAATTTATCATCAATAGAAGAATTTCAGCTAGTGCCAATAAATACCACAAAAACATCCCACCTTTCAAAAAATACTGCGATATGGTCCCAATGCATTTGGAAATACCACAAAACTAGAAGGAAATAGTCGGGCAAGTAACAGAAACATACGCCTCTAATTTTCAAGACAAATTGAGAAAGAAGAGAAAGTACAAGAAGAGCTATATGATTCGAAGGAGAAGAAATTAATGCGAGACGACTACGCGCCGGGCGCCCGATCGGGGGTGGGAAAAATCAGGTGCCCACGTCAGCATGACGTTATCAAGCAAGCATGTATGCAAAACTATTTTACACTATTTTTTTCTCTTAAATTATTTATCCAAATCATGATTAGATTGCACCATTAAATCCGTTGCAATTAAATCTTTAAAACAAGACCACGCATGGATATATTCCGATGAAAAAAATTTAGCTTATTATTGAATTATTTTTAAATGTTGCACGCTGTTCCACCAAGTATATCGGAATTGTTTCACTAAGTAGATCGAAAATGTTTCAATCGTTTAAATCGGACGTTGTTTCACCTTATATAAAAACAATGTTTCAGCAGATAGTGAAAGAATGTTTCAAGTCACTGCAATATTTGATCCATACATAGTAAAACATTATAAGTACACTAGATGAAACATTTTTGGTAGAACAAAAAATGAAACGAATTCCCTTAATAGAGGGTTTCTATAATATGTGGGTGATTTGTTGCAAAAGAATGTTTCAATTTACTGTAACATTAGATCTATACATAGTGAAACATTGTGAGTACACTAGTTAAAACATTTTTGGTGGAACAAAAAATGAAACGGATTCCCTTAATAGAGGTTTCCATAATATATGGGTGATTTGTTACAACGGAGTATGTGGTGGGGACACATGGCAGGTGTTTTACAGGGACATGTGGTGGCCTGGGGCGGCGTGCGCGCGCCGGGGGAGGGGGAGGAAATTCCTTCCTCCCCCTCCCCCGGGGCGACCGATCTAATAAAGGATTTTCGAAATTAATGGGGTCTCAAGATGGATTTCTTGCTAACGAATTCCTGATATGTATGTCGCTCGCTGCTACCATATGAATGGTTGATTATGTATCCAAAGAGGGAGAAGTGTTGCACGGGCCGTTAGGAACAAATAATGGTGCAGGGTATTTTTCTCTCGACTAGTACCATATATCGCCAGTGCCAATCTGTGGCATTCTAAGTTTTTGTATTTTTGGAAAGTATATGAAATTTTCTTGATAGAAATGTGGTGCTGTAACATCAAATGTTCCTTTTTCCCTTAAAAAAAATCTATGCAATATGCTCTTCTCTTGCAAAAAGAAAAGAAAGAAAAGCACATGTGTGTTGCGATCGCTATATATATAAGTCTCTCTCGATGCTACATGTTATACACACGTGCTCCTCCTTAATTAATTAAGTAGTATGCTCGGATAAGTAAAATGACGAGGTGAATCGTGTACCAGATGTTATATTAAAATAGATCACATGTGTTGTAATGATTTTTAGCCACCAGCCAACTCACCCAAAAGGTTATGTAATAAGGAAGAGCAAGTGAAGTCTCTATCATCAGGAATAGGATTTTATAGTTTCTGCATGGAAGGGAATCATCCAAAATTTCAAAATCATCTCAAAAACTTTGAACAATATTTAAAATATTTACAAATTAAATTTAATCACCTAAATTGATGGTTAGTACTAAGGAATTTCATGGTGCCTCTCTGCGTGTTCCATACGTTTGTTGGGAACATGTGCTACCAAGATGCTTCCTGGCACTACACCCATGGTTTAGCTTTCTGATCTGTTTCCACGAAAACCGAGCGCTTTTCGTGAAACCACAGTAGGATTGGTTTGTAAAAACCAAGCGATTTTAGCTATTTTAAATTTTACAGAGTTGATCGTAAGTGGTCGCTTTTAATGGTTTTTCTTGGTTTTGGACAAACCAACAAGGACCAGTTTTAATTTACCACAAAACTTTTTTTTAGAACAAGTTTTTACCACAGAACTAAAGATAGACTCTGCTCGCAGCCCAGGATGTATGTAGGTCAGGTGAGTCAGCATGTATATATTTTACCTACAAAACGATTCGAATTATACATTGTGCTTGTACCTGCGTAGTGCAAGAGCCCAAGAGATCGATCTAGCATCTAGCTAAGTTACTCATACCAGCTTTATCGCTTTGTTACAAAAGCTAATAGTCGTATCAAAGGAAAAAAGTTACATGTGGTTAGATATACCAGCATACATAAGACTGTGTATCTTGTTCACTTTGATCAGAGAAAGCTGCAGGGTCTTAGAATATACTAGTAACTAAGCCAGATTTATTATATATTAGTACAGGTGATTGTGGATATGGCCATATATAAATTAAGTTGTTGTTTTCATATATGGGACTTCCTGGTAATTAATAGTCAACCACATGTTTTTTTTTGCACGATCGACAATAAAAAGTTTACCAGTTTGATTCTTTAAATAAGGGTGTGTTTAGTTCCTAAAAAAAAGTTGAAAGTTTATGTGTGTAGAAAAGTTTTTAATGTGATATGATGTGATGGAAAGTTGGAAATATGGGGAAACTAAACACGGCCTAACTTCAAAATATATATATATACACACACACACACACACACATACATATATATATACATACATACATACATACATACATACATACATACATACATACATACATACATACATATATATATATATATATATATATATATATATATATATATATATATATATATATATATATATATATATATATATATATATATGTTGCTCCTCTTTGCACCTGCATGGTAGACACCCCCCAAAAAAAAAGTTCTTCGTACTTATACGCGATTTCTCACATATATATGCTGCAATTATGCTGCTGGCACCATCCCCACTATCATTAGTTGCCAATCACATATGTGGATACAACCTTCACCATAGACCAACTACTGCAATAACCATTTTTTTCCTATCTAGTTTTGACATCTTACTCGCTCTGATATAAAATATAAGTCGTTCCAGGCATACCATGCTCTCCAAGATAACGCTTTGATTTCTATGAAAAATATGTTATTTGAAAGAATATACATGTTACGAAAGTACTATTTTTCATTGTGAACCTAGTAATATCAATCATATACAAATGTAATTCTGTACATATTGGCAATCAAAACTAAAATAGTTTTGCCAATACAAATACTAATATGATTTGTTTATATTTTAGGCCGGAGATACTATTAATTGGACTATTGGTTATGGGGCTACTGGTCTCTTATTTTGCCCCCACATCTACCGCTGCTTGTTGTTGATCAAGTATCCACGAACTTTGCCTACCCTAATCTCTACTATTATAAAAACTGAAGATATTTTTGCCAGTATTTTGGTACGTTATCCGTGTTTGAGTCAATTTTTAAGTTTGTTTGCTTTTGGAAATACAAATTCGTGTTTGAGTTGGATTTTAAGCTCGTTTGCTTTTAGAAATACAAAGGAGTCGTATAAGAAATCTCTTTAAAAAAATCATGCTAACTTGAGATGAAATGTGGACTCCTAATTGCAGCTTATGATTTTCTAAAAAAATATATTCAAGCGAATCCCCACAGTGAATTTTACCCTAGCTAAACCGTATAACAATTATAAAATTAAAATAACATTTACCCGTTACAATGCACGGGCATTTTTTCTACTCCATCTGTCCATAATATAAGAGATTTTGAAGTGACGTGACACTTCCTAGTAACAAATCTGAATAGACTCTTGTCCAGATTCGCAGTAATAGGAAGTGTCACATCCCTCCAAAATCCCTTATATTTTAGGACGGAGTAGTTTATTAAATTTTTATGTGTGGGCAATTTTTCCATCGTAAATATATATAGATATTTTTTTTACTATGTCTTTTTGGTACTGCGAGGGCAAAAAATGGTATTTTCGTGTAATTATTCATAATAATTTCTTTTACATAGTCAACCAAATGCTAAACATGAGTGAGCCACAACAAGCTAACCATTAGATCTCTCTTATGCTCAATCACAACCGTTAACGTGTGTTGCGTGCAATTATTATATTCTCCATTAATTTTTATAAACCTACAATCTTAGCTTATTTAGGACCCACTATAAACTTAGTTATTGCCAATTATTCTTGCTGATTGTTGAAAAAAACATCTTATCCCAGTCATTTTGTACAAGTTCTCGCATAAACGTGTGGGATATCATCTAGTTATATTATGGCTATCTAATTAACCTACTTGAGGATGGTGAGATGTTACTATGGTATTCTCTAAGGGGGGGTGTTATACAACGTTTTCTACTGGTGGTATAACCAATCTAGACCATTTTTGTTTTCTATCTAATGGATTATATCTATTTATATTATCGCATTATTGATGGTACACTACTCATATGTATAAATCAATGGTTGAGATAAATTCTATTAGTGTAATACTACTTATAATCTTGTAGTATTCTAATACCAGTGGAGAGCACCGTAAAGGTACTAAAGAGAGCCTTCGGGACCCGGCACGAAAAACGGAGCAGCGATTAGCACGTGATTAATTAAGTATTTGCTTTTTTTTCAAAAATGGATTAATATGATTTTTTTAAGCAACTTTTGTATAGAAACTTTTTGTAAAAAAATACACCGTTTAGCAGTTTGAAAAGCGTGTGCACGGAAAAACGAGGGTGGGGAGTTAGAAACCCCTGCTAAAGAACACAACCTTAACTAGTGTTCCTTAGAAACACGCACCATGGCATCTAGTATCATTCATCTATAATGGAGGCAATATACTTCTAGGGTTTCCATCTTTATCCACAAAGATAGCTAGCAGAACCCTATGGTGCCGAAGGCAGAAGCCGTACATATTCTTACAAGCTAAGGAACTCTTCTTGCCCTCTCTATCTCTCTCACCTGATGCATGTAAAAGATGCACAAGCACACAGCACTAAGGGGGGGGGGGAAAGGAGGTAGAAAGCTAGAGAGAGAGAGAATAGTTCCCTTGTCCAAATCTTACCCTTTCACTAGCTCTCTCTGTTCTCATCCCCTTCTTCATCACCTTATAGTGGATGTCATTCTCCACTCCTTTGAACAATTGAACCTCCCCCATGCATTCATGAACCCTTAAAGCATTCTCATCATACACCCTGACATACATATCTCACAAAGAAGCAAGGGAGGACCAAAAAAGAAAATTAAAGAAGAAGATCATAAAAGGAGAATCCAGGGGTTAGAAAAAGATCAAAAGGGGGATCAACTCCACTACCTCTCTTGATCCATCATGTGGAATCAGGTACATAAGAACTTTACCCTTCTTGAGAGAGTGCTGAACTCCTTATTACTCCCTAATTAAAGTTTGTTTCTTTGTGAAAAATTAGCTTGTTGCTTAGCTACTTCTTTTCATGTGTAAAGCAAAAGGGAAGAATATGCAAAACAAATATATGTTCTTATCAATTTATGATAGATAGAAAGTTACAAGCCAATATATTCTCATGCTACTCTTGCACAAACCCTAGCTCATATGGTTGTAGTCTTAGCTACTATCATCCTTTTGTTTTCCTATCTAATTACTTCTTATATCTATTCATTCATGTTACTAGCAGCATCAAGCTCACCATGGCCATCATCAGCTTCACCAAAGTGTGGAGGCGAATCAGCTGCCGATGACCTCGGCCAGCTTGCTGCTTGCTCCTCGGTCGCCAGACATGGCCGCCGCCGGGATCCTTCCGGTGAGTGGTGGCGGCGGCGCCTCCTCGGCGCGGCCGGTGTCGATGGCGGAGCGCGCCAGGATGGCGAAGATCCCGCAGCCGGAGCCGGGGCTCAAGTGTCCGCGCTGCGACTCCACCAACACCAAGTTCTGCTACTTCAACAACTACTCCCTCACCCAGCCCCGCCACTTCTGCAAGGCTTGCCGCCGCTACTGGACCCGCGGCGGCGCCCTCCGCAACGTCCCCGTCGGCGGCGGCTTCCGCCGCAACAAGCGCGGAACCAAGCCCTCTAACTCCAAGAAGCCCGCCGCCGCCGTCGCCGGCGGCGTCATGGCGCCGCCGCATGCGCAGCTGCAGCTCCCTTTCGGGTTTGATGGCGGCGGCGGCGGTGGCCATGGTAGTATCATCGGTGGTGGTGGTGGTGGTGGCGCGTCGAGGTTAGGGTTTCCGGAGCTCAGCTCGCTGCACGCGGCTGCCGCCGTCGACTACCAGCTCGGCGGCGGCGGCGGCGGCGACGGCCTCGGGCTCGAACGGCAGCGCCTCCCGCACTTCCCGTTCTTAGCCCGATCCAACGCCGCAGTCCATCCACCGCCGCTGATGTCCACCGCCGCCGGGGTATCGTATCCATTTGGCGACGTCGCGGCGGGCGGCCTTGGCGGCGACATGCCGGCCAACGCCGCCAGCGTCGCCGGCTCCGCCGGGCTCATCACGCAGATGGCCTCGGTGAAGATGGACGACATCGACAACCACCCACCACCGTCTGCGGCAACGACGACGGCGAGCTCGCCGATTGAGTTCCTCGGTCTCCGTGGAAGCTTGCAGTTCTGGGGAGGCGGCGGCGGCCACCGTGGCGGTGGTGATGGTGCCGGCGGCAGTGCTGCTCCCGGCGGCGGCGGCGGCGGGTGGTCCGACCTGCCGGCGTTTGACTTGTCAACGTCTGGAAATATACTGTGATGACTCAAGTCATGAGGCATATGCAGAATGGGTCAATGCATGGATGGTGCATGGCTTCATGGGGAAAAGAAGAAGAAAAATCAATCTAGAATCCTAGAACTAGAAGAGTGTTATATATGTTGTGTGTATCATGCATGCATGGAACCAAACTAGGTAAGTAATTTAATTTTGCATGATCTGATCAGGGCCTAGAAGAACTATATTACTAGCTGATATGAATCTATAATTAGTTAGTCATTATGGTGTGACTAATCTGTTTCTTGTTCTTGCATATGCATGCCTAGCTTGGTAGATCAAGTCATGAAGCTATAGCTAGGTTATAGCTGTGTGTTAGTATTAAGTAAGGTCGAGAAATATTGAAGTCATCATGAAGCTAGCTAGGTTATATAGCTGTGTGTTAGTGTTAAGCAAAGCTCTAGAAATATTGTATCTAGGGATGAATGGTACCGCTTGATTATTATTATATGTAGTATTTTTATCTACCTTATGTTCTACTCCCTCCGTCCAAAAATATAAGGGATTCTAGAGAGATGTGATATATCCTAGGACTACGAATCTAGAGAGGCTTCCTGTCTAGATTCGTAGTGCTAGGATATGTCACATCCTTTCTAAATCACTTATATTGTGTGACGGATGGAGTACTCTGTTTGCAGTGTGTGTCTGCGGCGGGGCCGGGGGGATATGAAGACGATATAATTCGATTTCGTTTAAATGTGGTTATTCTAGTTCATCACTTACTTTTAGTTCCACACATTTTACTATGTATTGCCTGCCCACGACATTAAACAGTCGGACAATCTGTTCTATTGCTACACTAGGTGTAAGTGTGTCAATCCGCAAATAAATCGATGGGCCATATCAACCTTAATTTTCACGAATAAATCGAAGGCGTACATCCACACATATATAACTACGAATGTGTCCCTCACACATCTTCAAGTTCAAGGAGATGGAAGCAATGAGAAAAAAAAAACTAAACATGTATTATTGTTTCACATGGTCCTTCAAAGTCACAATAATGCAATGTTAAAATTCATTTTTAAAGGTAACATAGTGTCAAATTTCAATAACTAAGAACACAGATAAAAATAAAAGAAATACAACTAAGAAATATTGTTTATTTATTTATATTTTATATAGCTATTGAACAACGTGGGGGCATATCTAATTATCTAAAGCTAGCCGTTCTTTGAGATTTTGATTGGTCTACGTGGCGCAGTGAATTTGCAAGCGAATTGAAGAACGTGTGTGCTGTGTGCCTCATCACCCTCTTAATCAATCGAGCTAACGTGCGTTGTGCTACGGGAGAAAAAAAACCAACCAGCTGATGGGCCGTTCGGCCCTAAGTCACGTAAGCCTATGCTTGGCTCGAGCTCAAGCTAGTCACACCGTAGCTCATAAAAGTGTTTGGCTAGATTGGTCAGCTCCACGCCACCATGTCCTGCGTCTCCAATTCATCGAACACATGGTTTTGGGTCCCACGGTTTGCACTATACCGTGCTCAGCCCGCGCGCCACCCTGTCGACATCAACATTGTCGTCGCTCAGCCCGCGCATTGTCACCCTACCGACGCCATCGACGTTTAGCCCACACGCCACCGCCACTGCCTTGCTGCCCTCGCGCGTTGCCCAATCGCCCAGCAGCCACACCACCCAACCGCCGCCATCAGTCGCCTCTACCGATCGCCGCCCAGCCGTCCTAGCCCTAGCTGATCAAGGGAGGAAGAATCATGGGAAGGAGAGACAGAACGGGAGGAGATGGGTGTGAAGGGGTATTTCAGTAACATATCACGTAAATACATGAAAATAGCCCTAGCTGATCAAGGGAGGAAGAATCATGGGAAGGAGAGACAGAACCGGAGGAGATGGGTGTGAAGGGGTATTTTAGTAACATATCACGTAAATACATGAAAATATTAAAGAGGTGATGGGTCTTTTGGGTGGAGTGGGACAGTAGAGCGGCAAAAAGCCAGCTCCACTCCCTAGTACAATTTTGTGGCCAACTCTAAGTAAGTTGGAGTTGAGAGTTAAAGTTGTGTCAAACGACCGAGTAGATCATAGGCATAAATACCGAAATAGACCATACAAAATCGTGAATGGACGTGGAGAAAAATTAAAGATTGCTTCGTGAAAAAAAGGCTTGTAGGCAAGTCAATGGAGAGGGGACGAATCATTAGTATTAACGTATAATTAAGTATTAGCTAAAATAAATCTAAAAATAAATGAGTAGAACTTTGAGAATATTCTATAGAAATTTTATGTAAAAATAAATTGTTTAGCAGTTTAGAAAGTGTGCTATAGTAAAACGGGTAGAACTAATGTGGAATACACCTTAAGAAAACTTGGTCGAGCAATTATTTTAAACAAAGAAAAGTACAACTAATTTTCAAAATAATACTTAAATAAATACAATATACGGATTAGGCTACGTTCAGTTCGAAATTTGGAGTTTCCATGGCACACAATACAAGGCAACCATTATTGATTATTATAAATTTAATCGGTCTTATTTGGTATTTAAAAGATCTTCTATGTAAAAAGTTTTTGCAAAAGAACATATTATTTAATAATTTAGAGTAAATTCCCTGTGCACCTATAAAAACTCACTCAATCACTTTCATACCCCCGAGACTAAATAATGCAAAGGAGAAAATTGGAGATGAAATAGAGAGCATTTGGGTTTTGCAAAGGAATAGGAAGCGTGCTTATGGTAAATGAGAAAATTGCAAAAGCCAAATACTCTACCGAACTCAGCGTATGTCAGAAGATAAATAAAATATAACTACGATTAAGTTATAATTGATGCGAGTACTCTACATTGATATCGTATATTTTTAGAAAAGAAAAAAGGTAATAAAGAAACTAACATAAATAACGTAAATAATGTAAAATATTGGATCAAAGTTTTTTGCATTCTTATAAACTACATTTCTAAATATTTATTTACTGCTAGTTTCCTATGAATATGTCGAACTTACAAGTTTTATGAAATCACTGCAATTTAAGAAAACATATATACTTGCTAATTTTCCCGCACCTGTATACTCATTAAGTTAAACAGCACAATCTCTACCCGGATAATTACTGACGCATAAATCACTAATCTACTTTGATCCATCTCAAACTTCGACAAACATACGTAAAATTAAAATCCACTAAAGATCCTTTTGAATATATGATTTGTGCATGAATTGATTAAACTAACCCATATTTTTTTTATTCAGAGAAGGTTTTTTTTTTACCCGGCCTCTATATCCAACCGGATATATATAACATTTTTTTTAATTAGGAACTTAGCCCATCAAATAGGGAACTTAGCCCTAAATAACCCAATCGACCTTAGGGTGCTACTCAGGTCACTGCAACCACTAGGCTCCATGCCCTTTAACAAAAACTAATATATATATATAACTAAATCATGTAAAAATTATACAAATTTCTATGTTCAAGATGATTGATAGATAAGCATCAGTGGTGTGGTAGTTGAGTCGTGGGTGTTTGACACCACCCACCAGGGTTCAAATCCTAATATTCACGAATATTAGGCACGTGCAGGTGGACATTAGGTACATAACTTTAAGTGAAATCAAAGATGTACTATTCGTTTATGTCTGTTAGAGTATATGTTAAGGGATGTATTTGCGAGGATGTGAATGTAATGTTACATGTAATGTGTGTGTCTGTGTATGTCTTACGTGCAGTATGGAAAAAAAAAACATACATGAGCTATAAATTTTCAGCGCCCCAACTGCCGCGCGGATTTCCTAGTATACACGTATGCCAGGATAAAATCCACTTGCCTGCCAAAGCTAGTGAACACGTCACCATTAGTTCAAATAAATTACAGGTGTAATCCTGCAGGAAGAATTAGACTATTCAAAGCCCATGGATTATAATGGTGGGCTGAAATGAAAATAAAAAAAAACTGGCCGTGTGTGCCCGTGTAATGGTAAAGCCCATGAAATAAAATGCCAATCTGCACATAGACTTGTCTAGGTAAAGTGTCCAAACATCTATCTGTGACGGGCTCTGATATGCCTAGAAATAGCGGGCCGTCACAAAGAAGTCATCTCAATCGGGCCAAAAAATACCCGATTGAGATATGGTCGCACAGACATATTAGATGGATATAAAACTTAAACCCGTCACGGATGACACCTATCAGTTTAGGCCCGATTGAGATAACATTCCATATCTCAAACGGGCCTAAAGATGTGGCCCGTCACAGATGACCATCATCTGTGACAGGCGCTAACTTTATATCCGATTGAGATAATATTTCATATCTTAAACGGGCCTCAAGTTGTGGCCTGTCACAGATGACCATCATCCGTGACGTGCACCAACTTGAGGCCCGTTTGAGATAGCAACTAGGCCCGTCACAGATGAATCATCAGTGACGGGCTATATAGTTAATCTCTATCGGGCATTAACTAAAGCCCGTCACCGATAACTATTTTTTCATTTTTCATATGAAATGTTTATATTTGTAAGTTGAACTATAGCAAAATAATTAAGTGCAGTATAATAATTCATTTTATGAGTCAAAATAATTTTACAGGTAGTAAATGATTTCAAATAGAAAAAATGTCAACAATAAAGTTGTATAACTTATCAAGATTTACAACTTTTAGTTTGGTCATTTTTCTATATAACATTTTTTTTGAACAGTTTGAATTTGAATTTGAAAATATAACAAATTCAAACAACATTTTCAAATACTAAATGATTTCAATTGAAAAGGTCATCAACAACAAAGTTGAATAACTCATCAAGATCTAAAACTTTTACTTTTGTTATTTCTTCATCTGACGAAATGTTAGTAATATTATTCACAAATTTTACATATATGTGTTATAGTTTATAAAACCAAATAAGAGATATGTCAATTTTGTGAACAATGTTACTATCACTTTGTCGTATGAAGAAATGACCAAAATAAAAGTTTTAGATATTGATGAGTTATTCAACTTTGTTGTTGATGACTTTTTCAGTTGATATCGTTTAGTATTTGAAAATATTGTTTGAAGTTATCATATTTTCAAATTCAAATTCAAACGGTTCAAAAAAATGTTATATAGAAAAATGACCAAAATAAAAGTTATAGATCTTGATGAGTTATACAACTTTGTTGTTTATGACTTTTTCAGTTGAAGCCGTTCACTGATCTAAAATTCTATTTGAACTTTTCAAACTTTGAATTTCAAATTGTTTAAATAGAGCCATATGGAGAAATGACCAAAATAAAAATTTTGCACCTCGATGAGTTCTACAACTTTGGTTTTGGTGACTTTTCCATTTGAAATCATTTAATAACCCCAATTTGACATCCTGGCCTAGGACTTAATAAGATTAATAGAATACTCATACCAACAAGTTACAACTACTTTTTTGGAAGCCAATCTCCAAATAACTTTGATGTTAAACATGTTTGGCTTGGAGCAATTTCGGGAAGGGTGACCGATCGGGAAGTTTGAATTT